TAAGAGAAACTTCTATACAACCTTTTACTCTGCTTTTCGTTTCTGGAACATTAAAAGTTTTTCTGGGTTATTTTTATCTAGTGTCCACTAGAGAATAAGTGAAAAACTAATTTATAACTTGTAGACTATCTGTTTGTACTGATCACTTGGAGAAAAATACAGGTAAAGTTATTTTAGATATAACAGTTTAAACAACGTATAGGGCAGATGCTAGTAGAGTAGAAACAGCAAGAACTCGAACAGACCTGGATTCAAATCCCAAGTATTTTTTTTCTCTAAGACCTTTAGCACTCTTTGTCCAAATTCTACCACGCTTAAATTTAGCATTTTGCCCAATGATCTGCTATGACAGTGTGGTGAAGTGTTTAAAAGCACAGGTCTGGAGCTCAACTGATTGAATTCAAATCCTAGCTCTGGGTCTTACTTGTGTTACCCTAGATAAGTTCTTCCCCTCTCCATAAATGGAGATCAGTAGCAGAACCAAAACCAAACCTCACAAAGTTACTGGGAGAATTAAATGGGGAAATAAATATAAAACACTTGGCACAGTGCCTGGCACAAAAATACTCAATAAACATTAGCAATTATCATAATTTATATAATACTTCACAGTTCACAAAAGCATGGTATCTCTTGATTCCTATCACAGAATTTCATCAACTCGAAGTGACAATTTCTAAGACATATCATGAAACTCTCAAAAAAATTCCCTAAATTGATTCTAATTCACTTAAATTTCTTTATGTCCCAACTACATTATGGAAACTGAGCTACACTGAAACCAAACCACGGTCCGTAACAAAGTACGGTAGTTATCGTCTCACCCAATAGAGAGGGATCTGCAAGACATTCTGGAAATTGATATAGCCTCATTTCAAAGTTATCCTCTCCTACCTTAACAAGAATTTAATTGTATAAATGAATAATTCTGAAATGCAGTCAGTCTGAAGAACATAATTTGGCAAACTGAAGAGGACAGAAGAGCCAGGAGAAAGGAGTTCCCCACTCCTGACCTACTGATCCTTGGGTCATCCTACATGGAGTGTTGCAATCTGTTCCAGGGAGGTATCTACAGTTCATCCTCCTTCCTGAAATATGGAGATTTGACAAAAGGACAGACAGCACTCCAGTTACTATGTTTGGTTTTCTCGTAGGGCTTACAATTCATTTATTGTATTTTTTTCAATATCAAGTTCCCTGGAATATTAATGATCTTTTAACTAACATTTAGCAAGACAAACCAAAGATGGGAGAGATCCTGAAATCAGAGGACAACCTCACAATTGCTTCTTATCCTTTGAAAAACATTCATATTTAGGTCTCCAGGGAAACAGTTTGGTTGTAACCTTGTAAAGGATAATAAATATGCAGGAATTATACACTGAAATAATTAACAACTCTCTCAATTACTGTCTCTGGATCTTTAAGACATATACTCATTGCCTCATTTTATTCATACCACGCGGCAAAGTAGCATTTAAAAATAAGGAAGCCTTGGATCCCAAAGCAATGCCCAAAGCAGACCTCCTGCAAACCACAAGGCCATATCAGTCTCGACTAAAAACAAGTGTTTTTTAAAGACTTTCATATCTGACAAATTACCACATTCCAAATGTTCTGTTTATGAGACTAGTTTGGACTTGAGAAGCAAATAGTTGCTGACAGTGCACTTGTGGAAAAACCACAGAATCTCTTGAGCTATTTTTTTTTTCTTTAAGTCCAAAACAAAGCCTTCAAAAGCAGTTTTCCATTTTCAAGTTCCCATGTTGGGTTGGGTTGGAGGTCAGGAAAAGGGATACCAGCAAAAATCATCCTGCCTATAGCCTAAGTGCTTCATCAAATTGGAGGCCTACTTCCATCCACCAAACCTTACCCAAGACGCTAACTTTATGGCCACACCACACCCAGAAGGCAGGTGTGAGTTAAAAAGGAACCCAGAGAAGCAAGGTGAGCATGACAAATGCTAAGTGTTGTCATCTCTGGGTGATAGGAGTCTGGGAGATTTTTATTTCTCTTTGTATTCTTCTGTGTTTTGTAAACTTCATACAACACATATTCCATCTTTAATCAGAAACTTTTTTAGTTTAAACATTCTTTTGTAAAACACCTTACCACGTTGTATGAAAACCCAATGTTCAGACACCTTGTAAATAGGGCCTAGTAATAAGCAATAATCTTAGCTACTGACAGCACTTTAAAAAGTGTCTGAAAAATAATAAATGCCTGCAGATTAGGGCGTTTTTCCTTACTAGGGGGCACTCATATTTCTAGGATACTGTGTGTGTGTGAGGAAGATTGTCACTGAGCTAACATCTGTGCCAATCTTCCTCTATTTTATGTGGGATGCTGCCACAGTGTGACTTGAGGAGCAGTGCTGGGTCCCCACCTGGGATCCAAACCTGTAAACCCTGGGCGGTTGAAGCAGAACACGCAAACTTAACCACTTACGCCACCAGGCCAGCCCTTAGAATACTGGTTTTTAAAGGTCATGGTTCCACTAAGTGAAAAGAGGTTATGTTTTGGTGAGTTTCTGGCTTAATTACCAGATTTAAAAATAAATGTGTGCAGTTTACTTTTTGTCAATTATACATTAATAAGCTGTTTAAAGAAAAAAAACAAAGAAATATGAAAAAAAAAGATTTTTTAACAGTAGGTTATTTAACTCTATCCTGTCCACTAGACATGTCTACTTCCACTCTGTGGAGTCCCTGGCAGTTTCTAAATAATTTCCATTGGGCTGGGCCTGTGGCGCAGCGGTTAAGTTCGCATGTTCCACTTCTTGGCGGCCCGGGGTTTGCCAGTTCGGATCCTGGGTGTGGACATGGCACCGCTTGGCAAAAGCTATGCTGTGGCAGGTGTTCCAGTTATAAAGCAGAGGAAGATGGGCACAGATGTTAGCTCAGGGCCAGTCTTCCTCAGCAAAAAGGATTGGCAGTAGTTAGCTCAGGGCTAATCTTCCTGGAAAAAAACAAATCATTTCCATGTTGATCCTTACAAGTGTGTAAAGTAGTCAGGAGTTAAGGAGTGGCCTAAGAATACTTATCTAGTCCACAGCACCAGAGGAACTGGAACCTGTACATACCTCTAGGGTGGAAGCCTAAGGCTGGAGTTCTGGTACCACTAACTTGCTATGTGATCTTGGGCAAGTTAACCTCCCTGGGCCCTAGTTTCCTGTCTATAAAATGAAGTCAGACTGGTAGACCTGAGAAATGCCAAGCTGCTTAATACTTTATTGGCTTCCCAAGCCCTCTGCTGGCATGTTGATTCTGCCATCCCTGCTTGACACAATCCTGTTCACCCTTCAGTAATGCTTTCATATTCCACTTCCTTCAAAAACTGATCCAACTGCTAAAACCAAATCCTCCAGCTCCCCAAATCACTATGTAGATGGCTCTATCTCTACCTCCTGTAGCAACTAGTGGTAGATTTCTTACTCCCTCACGACACTTGTGAACATTTTACCATAGAAACCACGCAGAGTAGCACCCCACAGTACCGTGCACTACATAGGTACTTTGTTAAAGGTTATGAAAAGCTTAGAAAATGGGTAGAAACAAAACAAGCATGCAACACAGCCACTCTCACAACTTTTTTACAGTAGCCCAGAGCAATGTCTTCCATGACCTCCAAGCAAGAGCCACCTACCTCCTTCAGATTCAGTTTCTCTCCTAAGAGAGCAAGCCTCTTAGTCACCCAGATGAAGGCAGTATTCCACGGACCTGGAATTCTACCACTGGCTCAGCCACTTCCTATTTGATCATGGGCATTATACAACTCTCTAAGCCTCACTTTTCTCATCTTTAAAATGGGCATAATGTTAATACCTATCTTACAAGGTGGTTGTGAGCATCAACTGAGACGCTGGCGTCTCCTCCAGAATAAAATCCAAATTCCTTAATTTGGTCTTCCAATCCCTCCATGAACTAGCCACTACCTACGTTTTAAGGGATTAACTCTAATCAAATTGGAGAATATTCTACTTTCTGTGAGCACACTTCCTTGCCCTGTGATCAGGCCTTTCCACTACTTGAGGAAACTCTAAACATCGTTCAGGGCCTACCTCAAAAGCCAACGCTCGACAAAGCCTCGATTTCTCCCTCTTCCATCTCTCCAAGGCCCTACAGGCCAAGCACTCGAAGTTTTTACAGATGTGACTTATGAATTCAAGAGTTTTTTCCCGGTGGGCAGAGCCGGCCGGTAAGCGGTAGCTCCCCCCGTCCGTGTTAATCAATACCTACTGATAGCACTTAAAAATCAAATTTCATTTTAAGCTGTTTGGTTTTACATGAAGCGGGGTAAATCTGGTCAGAAGGGATTTGAGGAAATTTGCTGAGGTTCGAGTACGACGGTGGAAAAAGATCCAGCCAGCGTCGCCGCGAGCTCTGCGCTAAGGCAGCCTCAGGGACTCCCGCCCGAAAACTTTCCGAGGTTAGTCACTTTTCGAGGCTGAAGGGTCTTTTGCTCTCGCCTATTTCCCTCACCCCTTGGTCTTTTTAAGAAATAACGCTCGAGATGAGAACGACGAGGGATATCAGCCAGGGCACCCCAGCCTGCAAAGTTTCTATCGAAGGCGCCCTACCGGAGCCGAGGGAGGCTCCTCTGGGCAGCCCGGCGCCCGCCGAGGAGAGGTGGAGCTGCGGTGTCACATCTAAAGGAATGCAGGGGTCGCCAGCCCCAGTCTCGTCGGGTTGGAGCATTAACCAGTCATTCGGGCCCCCTTCTGGAAGGGCGGCTCAACGTGCTCTCCATTCCGGAAACGCCGGCCACGGGAGGACGCCGGCCTCAGCGCCGCCGCCCTGAGGAGAGTGGGGTGCGGCCAAGCCCGCGGCTCCGGAGTCCTCGCCGGCTCCCCCGCTCCGGGCTGCCTAGGCCCGGCTGCCCCACATGGCGGCGGCCGGCCGCTAGGCCGCAGGCCCGGTCTCCCAACTGGGGTGGGTTCGGCTCCCCGCCTCAGTTCTTAGCCCTAGCGCCAGGGTCGTGCCCTCACCTCGTCCCCGGACATGGCTGCGGCTCGAGCGGGATCGGCAGGACGGAAAGTCGGACGGGTAAGCCCCAGGCCCCAGCGGCAGCGCGGCTCCTGCCAACAGCTCTCCCACCACCGCACTAGGTTCTTGCATCAGCGAAAGGGAACGACACCCCGCCCTCTCCTCTCGAGCGTTGGAAATGCGCCTGCGCAGCTCCCGTCAGGGCGCAGGCGCGCGGAGGAGCCGACCGAGCGTGCTCCGTCTGGCGCGAGTTACCAGGCGACGCCGCCGCGCCCTGCAAGCCGGGACTTGTAGTCCGCCTAGAAGAGGCGGGCAAACCCTCGGGGGCGGCCCAGCGACCCGCGCGCGTGCGCGACGTCTGAGGAAGCCGGCGGGGGAAGTTCAGTTTTGCTGGTCGCCGCTCTTGCCTCAGTTTTTCGCAGAGTAGGGGGTCTGCGCTGTGTTGCGCTGCGTGTGGAGTGAATTCGGGGCCATTTCTCCTGGGTTGGGGCGGTAGGTAACAGAGTAATATGAAGACGTGGGGCTTTTGTTTCCCTGCCGCTATCTCCACGTTACCTACCCCTTTGGGGTGTTCTGGCGTTTGAGGAACTCACCGTTGGAGCTAGAGGCGCGCACCTCACTAAGGGGTTGTACTTCATGAGAAATTTAACCTAATATGCTGAATTTCAACTTGGGAAGTCAGAAACCAAAAGCCTCTTCCCTGTAGACTGAGGAGAGACGTTCCCTGAAGAGAAACGGCCTGGCAAGAGGCAATCTGTCGGGAAGCCTCAAAATACTCGTTTACGACGTTTCTGCTTGAACGCGATGGGGGCATCGTGCAGTTTCCCTTGAGGCATAATAACAGCTGCTTCCCTTTAAGGGGCCCCCACATTGTCAGTGTCCTCCAGCCAGAGACCACCAAGAACACCCCTGTAGCTGAACAAAGTTGGGCGTCAGTCTCCTTGCAAGGGAGGAAGGCACACCTTGAGGAAGCGCGGGCCATCTCAGGAAGAGGGTGCTGGAAAGAATTTACAGGATTTGGGCTGGTGTTAGGTGATTTGGGGGAGGGTTCAAGGAATCAGTCCTACTCTCTGCATTGGATGCTGTTAGTTGGAGGTAATTCTATGATGGGGTATTTTAATAATTCTTATCTAAAAAGGAGAAGAACCAAGAGAGGCTAAAGCTATGATTGGTTAAGAAGCAACAGTCCCTCATGTTAGCCAGGATGGGGGGGATATTTGGTCTTTTTTGTGATTGGGCCAGTGTTCTTTTTTGTTTGTATTCAGACATGATTATGGAGTGGTTTTGTTTTTTGTCTTGGTCCCTCCTGGTGTTCTGTGAAATTGTTTACATTCAACACGGGCAGCACATCCTAGCTGATAGTGCCAGCCCAGCTCCCACTATCGGGACTGCTTTTCTCCTCACTGTGCTTCATGTCACTTAATATATGTTCTCTGCTTTAGGCCTCAAAACAACTGTGTGAGACAATCCACAAATATTTAGTACTCTCCCTTGGTTACTAGTCCCTAAACTAAGCATGGCAGGTGAAATTAGGTCCCTGCCTCCAAGGAGCTTACAGCTTAGTGAGAATGATACTTCCTTAACCTTTCTTTCCAGATGAGGAAATTGTGTTTTCATGGCATTGATTAGTCCAAAATGATACAGCCAGCAAAAACAGAGAACCTGGGGATCCAAGTTCAGAGAATCTGATCCCGGTGGCTGCCACTTTACCACCTTCAAAATCTGCATCCCTAAGGAGGCTGCACTGCTTCCTCAGTAGTACTCAGCTGCTGATACCTGTGCTTAGCTAAGTTTCTCACCAGCAGCGCTATTGACATTTTTGGTCAGGTAATTTTTTGTTGTTGGGAGTTATTCTGTGCCTTGTAGGGTGTTTAGTGCCATCTCTGGCCTCTATCCATTAGATGCTGGCGGCACCCTCCCCCTGTGACAACTAGTAATGTCTCCAGACGTTACCAAATCACCCCTGTTTGAGAGCCACTAGTGTATACCATTTATCTCCTCCTGGGTCTCTCTCTGAGAGGTAACAAGTATTTGGGGCATGACAGTCCCCAAATCACTTTGAGTGGGGAAGCCTTGAAAAGGAGAGAGGGAAACAGTTGTGGCCTAAGTTTTTGAAAAGCATGTTAAACTAGGAAAACGAAGACTGAGACAAACAAAAGACAAGTGAAGTGGGGAAAAACAAAGGGAAAAAAAAAAAGTAATAGAGGTGGAGAAGAGCTCGTAGGAAATCACCCTTAAGTTACTCAGTTCACACTAACAAAGTTAGTTCACACTAACAAAGGCATACAAAGCCTTTTTTTTTTTTTTACCAGAAACACTTTCTAGAACATATTTTTCTTATTGAGATCACATTGGTTTATAACATATAAATTTCAGATGCACATCATTATATTTCTACTTCTGTATAGACTGCATCATGTTCACAACCAAAAGTCTAGTTGCTATCTGTCTTTGTACACTGACACACAAAGTCTTAATGAGGCCTCATTTTACCTCCACTCCCTGTCTGAGAAGTGCTGATATGCGTAGCAAACAGTCTTGACCACTTTTGTAAAAAGATTTGTTTTTTACAAAATACACAGCTTGGTATCAGCTGTGACCTCCCTGAACTGGCTACCTGCAAGAGACTTTCCTCAGAGATTTCAGGCATCCTCCAAGGTAGCAGTTTGTTTTCCACGGAAATTCCAGGATTCCAGGAGAGCTGGCAAAAGTCAAAAAGCAATGGTAGCTAAGCTTTTCCAGGTTTTCCAAGAGATAGGTCCTGCTTAAACTAAGCTAATAAGAGCATCAACACAATTAATCCCTTGTATTTTTCTAACCTCTTTCATCTAGAAATCTCTGCAAAACATCCAGACATTTATTAATTTTCTTCTCATAGTGAGGAAATGCATTGTGATTTTCCTGTTTTATAGATCCAGAAGCCAAGTTATGGAGTCTGCAAAAAATAATGAGAAATGCAGAAACGGACTACTGGAATCTTTACTCTGGGCCATTCTTGATGCTCAGTACCACCCCAGATCTCCAGGTGCTCAATAGTAAGCTAATGATGATAATCCTTCAATTGTATACTAAATTTTATGTTTTCATAGGCTTTAAAATATTCCATAGTCTCTTCACTTAACCCATAATATTAGCAGACCTTTAGAAGCTATGACTTAAACCAACTTAAATAGTGACAATACTTGAATTAGAACTCAGATCTCATGATTCTTAGTCCAGTACTCTTTCTACTTGGTAAATAAGCCCATACACCCATGTAGGTGATATTTAACTTACAGAAAACATAATTAAGCCAGAGTTTCTAATCCATATAGAAATCCAGACCTATTCAACCATTTTCATCTATGGACACCTCATTACGTGAGGTCTTTAAGAGTTAGCTTTGGGCACAGCGGTTTAGTGCACATGTTCCGCTTTGGTGGCCCGAGGGTTTGCTGGTTCGGATTCCGGGTGCGGGACATGGCACCACTTGGGCAAGCCATGCTCTTGGCAGCTGTCCCACATATAAAGTAGAGGAAGATGGGCACGGATGTTAGCTCAGGGCCAGTCTTCCTCAGCAAAAAGAGGAGGATTGCCAGCAAATGTTAGCTCAGGGCTAATCTTCCTCAAAAAAAAAAAAGAGTTAGCTTTGGTGAGAAAAAGAGGAAAGTCACTGAGATATTAATGAAAAGCGTCTAGTAACTCTGAACTTAAATTTATCTTTGGGTTGATGTAGTGGATAGAAGGTATAGTGAGGCTCCCCCAAAGGAGTCTTGAATATAGTTAATCTTTGAGAACTAAACTAGTAGGAATGAATTCTTAATTATTTGGTCATATATAGAAATGACTTATGAGATAATGTGTCACTGAGGAGATTTAGGAATCACCAATTCTAAGCAAGTTCACCAGGCTATAGTAATGAAAATCCTGTCTCCAAATCCCATCATTAGGTCAGTGATTCCGAATCCCTATTTCCAACCCAAACCTCTCTTCTGAGTTCCAGCCTCACATATCCAAATGCCTACTTCTCTACATTTGCTTTTCTGACAGAGACCTAAAAGTTACTGTGTTTAAAACAGAACTCTGGGTATTTCCTACTGGAGGTCTTATTTCAATTAAGGCCACTGCTCTCTACCCAGTTGCTTAAGTCAGAAACCCAGGAATTAACTTGATTCCTCCCTTCTCCTCACCTTCATCCAATTCATTATCAAGTCTTGTTGATTCTATGTCCAAAATAAATTTCAAATCCAGCCACTTCTTTCTTCACTGCCACTAGCCTAGTCCAAATGATTGTCATCACTTTCTTGGATACTGTAACATTCTCCTTTTGCCCTTTCCTTCATAACATTTAAAACAATTTGTTTAATTTATTGGTCAGTTGATCACTTGTGATTTTCATAATCTCACTTCACTATTAGAATGTATATAAATTCCTTGAGGATAGGTAGAAAATCTGTCTTGTTCACTCGGATATTCCCAGCACCTAGCAGAATGCCTGGTTGTCATAGGCACTTGGTAAATATTTGTTGAATTAATGGATGAAAATCCAATATTTTCCAAAATTTTAACACAATTCCTTACAGTGATATAGTTGAAGTTGGAGCTTTTATAATTATATATGGTAAAAATGACTGAAGCTAACATAATTAAAATCAATTGTATTACAAATATGTCTGAAAGAATGTGTTAGAATTGAAATGGTTCCCCTGGAACCCAGAGAGAAAGGAATCTGCCAGGATTTGGCTATGTTTTTTTCATCCAGCAATGTTCAGGATAAAGAAATCATAATTCCAAAGAACATTGTCAAACTAGTCATTAGAAGGTACGCTTGTTCTAGATCATAGATAATTTCTTAGGCTTTACCTGTGGCCTGAATGAAATGGATCTTAAAACCATTCAGTTCTCTTTTTTTTTGATCATTCACTGAACAATATTTTGATTATCAACTTAGATTCCCTGGTACCTTTACACTGGCAAGAAAATGCTCTGGACAGCAAACACAAATACTTTAGTCACTGAAAAAATATATTTCACATTAAAATGTAACTCTGTGAGAGCAGGAAATTACTAATCACAGCCGTGTCCCTAGAACCTAGAACAATGCTTATTTAGCAAAAGTAGGTTCTTTATAATTGATGAATGAATGAATATGTATTAGTAAATTAGAATTATACTTTGTACCACATTCTCTTATGAATTTGATTATTGTGAGTCAATACTCAAGTATCTGTTCCATGCTAGAGGCATTAGGAAAATTAGATTTCTGATCTTGCAGGCCATATACGAGATCCTGAACTCTGGTGTTCCACCACAAAGGGTCTGTGAGATCCTATTTGGTTAACCAGTTGACTTCCTTCTCTGATGTCTCCTTCTTGGTTCTCTGTAACTCCAGTTCATCCTCCATCTAGCCTGCAGAGTTTCCTTTAAAAAAAGAAATCCAATGCTGCTTCCCTGACTAAAAATCAGTTAATTCTGTTACCTTCAGAATAATCGTTATCCACAGTCTACTTCTGCAGCTCTCTTCACTACTCTACTCTCTACCTTTCTTACTACTCTCCATCATGTATTGTAAGTTCCAGCCACACTAAATTACTTAATATTTCCTGAACATGCTGTTCGCCTGGCTGGAATGTCCGTTCCTCCTCTGCCCAGCTGATGAACTCCTGCCATCCTTTAAGATCCAGCTTAGATGTTACTTTTTAAAAGAAGACTATGATTTCCTTCGGGGGAAAAAAGCTATTTCTTTCTTTCTATTTGTCTTCTGTCTTTATTATAGTCCTTATCATATCATATTGTAGCTATCTTTGAGATCCTGGAGGGCAGGATCTGTATCTTACTTATCTTTCTTTGCTTCCGCACTGGATAGCACATGTTCATGACTACGAAAACCTATATGGGATGATAAGTAGGAGTGCTAATAACTAACTTGGCTTCTTGAACCAAGGGAGAAAGGAAAACTTCCCAGCTGTACTTTGCGTGAAATAATTGAGTGTGAACAAACCCTGGAAAGAAATCTGCTTTAGGTACTCCCTTTAAGTATCATCAGTCTACTTGACAGATCAGCAGGCTCTTAGAAAGGAGTAATTCAGTGCACCATGTACACACTCAGCACCTTAGATTGTCACTAATCGTTGCCCATCTTTCTCCCTTGCTCTTGAGAGACTTTGTAACCTCAACGCCCAGCGCAGTGTCTAGCACTTATTAGGAGCACAATAAATGTTTGCTGAGAGGATTCATGAATTAGTAAATGAAATAGAAAATAAATTACCTCCTCTTTTCTCTTGGATAATTTAAATCCTCCCTTTTGAAATGTTTGAGATACCACTTGCTCTTTAAAGCCTTTTCTAATCAGCCCAGCCTACTAAAATTTTACCTTTCTCTGTCTTCATGTAATACTTATCGTTTAGACTATGCCAGTTTGCATTGTTATTTATTTTTAAATGCATATGTCCTTTCTTTCCAGCTAGATTATAAAATCTTTGAGAACAGGGATTTTGTGTACTGTTGCTTCCTACAATGTCTTAAATCTAGTAAGATCTTAATGCTGTAAATTTTTGGTAATGTTACCTAGAGTCACTTACTGTTTTCTCATCTTTACAGAAGACTCTGAAGAAAACCATAACGAGATACCACCTCACACCCATTAGAATGGCTATTAGGAGAAAAAACAAAACAAAACAGAGAAGGACAGGTGTTCGCAAGGATGTGGAGAAATTGGAACCTTTGTGCACTGTTGGTGGGAATGTAAAAGTTGTAAAACCACTATGTATGGCTGTTCCTCAAAACAGTGTGGTGGTTCCTCAAAAAATTAAAAATAGAATTATTATATGATCCAGCAATTCCACTTCTAGGTATATACCCAAAAGGTTTGAAAGCAGAGTCTTGAAGAGATGTTTGTACACTCATGTTCATAGCAACATTATTCACAATGGCCAAGAGATGGAAGCAACTCAAGTGTCCGAAAATAGATGAATGGATAAACAAAATGTGTTATGTACATACAATGGAATATTATTCAGCCTTCCTAAACAGGAAGGAAATTCTAACACTACAACCTGGATGAATCATGAGGACTTTGTGCTAAGTGAAATAAACCAAAACGACAAATACTGTACGATCCCATGTATATGAGGTGCCTAGAGTAGTCAGATTCATAGAAACAGAAAGTAGAATGGTGGTTGCTAGGGGCTGAGGGAAGAGGGAAAATGGGGAGTTATTGTTTAATGGGTACAGAGTTTCAGTTTTGCAAGATGAAAAGAGTTCTGAAGATTGGTTGCACAACACTGTGAGTATACTTAACTGAACTGTACACTTAAAAACAGTGAAAGTTGAAGTTTTTGGTTGTTCCCCAAAGACCAGTGAATCCTGTGGAAGTCACTTTTTCACATGTGCCTTGATTTCCTCATCTTTAAAAGCCTGCTCAGCTTCTGGGTTTATGTGCGGATCAAATAGAAAACAAAACAGAACCCAACAACTCTTAAGATAATTTTTTGAGTAGTCGTTTTCCCAGTATTCCAGTGTCCCTGATCTCTTTTTATATTTATTACAAGTTTTGCATCTTATTTCATAACAAAATATTCCTAAAGATGCCCCAGCAATAACGTGTTACAACTTCAAAGGATATGTATCCTGAACTCTCAATTTGGGCTGCTCATCTTATAATTTTGTCCTGGGAGAACAGCAAATAAACAGCCTTTATGAGGATTTTGCAATGACCTAAGGTGCTAATTACTAATGTGGTTTAGCACTAATTGAGGAAATACAAGCTCAGAATTTTCATCTGAGCATGAGAAAGGTGGTTGCAAATTAGGGGGATAAGAGGAAGAATTAACATCTGCTGAGTACCTAAATGTCAGGCTCTATAGCAGATGTTTTACATGCATTATCTCATTTAATCCTCACAACAGCCTTGTCAGGTTAATAATATTATACTCATTTAATAAGTGGGAAAAATGAAGTTCAGAGAGCTTAAGTCATTTACCTAGGATCACACAATGAATGACAGAGATGGAATTTGAGTCTAGATCTGTGTGACTCTGAAGCCCATACTCTCTCTACTCTGTTACACTGCCTCTCAAAGAATATTTGACTAAGCCTATTTGTAATCGAGCTAATAATAAATCATATATATTTGATTTATATTTGTACATTTATGTCAATTATCTTATTGGTCATTACAAGTAAGATAAACTGTATAGGGATGACTATCATCACTTTACAGATGATGAAAACAGATGGGAAAATTTAAACTTACCTACTATCAACCAACCAATGACTGATAATAACAGGACTTGAAAACAGGTACTGCAATTCTCAGACCCATGGTTTTTCCACATGCTAAATGATGAAACTTCCCCAGCCCTCTTGCTCTATTCCACTCCAGTAATGCTGACAGCAAGGCTTGTATTCTCCAGGCAGGATAACAGAGTTGATTTTTGGAGGAAACTTAAAATTGAATAACCCCAGAAAAAAGATCTATAGATACTGATACTTAAGGGTCCCCCAGGAAAACAAATAGGTCCCCCATCCTGCAGTGAAACCCACCAACTGATAAATTCTTCCTGTTAACACAGAGCTTCCAAATACCTTTGTAGTGACTCACTCTTAAATATGAAGGGACAGCAAAGTTGAGATAAACCTCCACCAAGAAAGACAGCATCAAACAGAAATGGAAAAAAAAAATCTCAGAAGAAAGAGAGACAATATAGAGAGCAGATGAATATTTTTAAAAAAACAATAAGCATCTTCTGAGAGAGAATATAAAATAGTACATCCATAAAGCAAAGGCAAGATACTCCAAAAAAGGAACAATCAGACAATAATAGCTCTGGGAAATTAAAAATATAATAACAAAAATAATTCACAGAAGTATTAATCTATAAAATTGAGGAAATATCTCAGAAAATAGACAGAAATGGAAAATAAGAGAGAAAAGAAAAAGATGAATCCCTAAGGCCCAACATAATAGGCAATAGGTGTTTTAGAAATAGAGGGAAGGATATTATCAAAAAAACTATGAGAAGATCTCTGACAACTGAAGGACATGATTTTCCAGATTGACAGAGCCTGCTAAGTGCCTAGCATAATGAAGGGAAAAAACCAAAAACACTGTGGCATGTATCATGACATTTCTAAACACAAGGCATAAAGAGAAGATGGAAAAATCTTGATGATAGGAGGTAATGAGGGAGTAGGGAAAGGGAAATGGATTACTTATAAAAGAGTAGGTAATAAGAGTAGCATATTTCTCAACATTAACACTGGTGGCTAGAAGGCAATGAAACAATGCTTTCACACTTCTGAGAGAAAATCATTTTCAGCCTAGAATTCTATACTAAATCATGTTATCAGTTAAGTGCAAGGGTCAATTAAAGATATTTTCAGACATGCAAGGATCAAAAATTTACTACCCCCACCCCAGCTTTTCCTAGGATACTACTGGAGGATGTACTCTACTGAAACAAGAAAGACAAACGTATAGGTGTTAGGAAACAGGGCATCAACCTAGGAAAGAGGTAAAGGAAAATCCCAGCATGACAACTATACAGCAGACCTAAGGAGGGACAGTCCATGCTGAAGGAAGGAGTGCTCCAGGGGAGTGTTTCCAGTGAAACTGATAGAGTATCTGACATGTTTGACTGTGTTGAAAGTAGTTTAGGCATTTTTACATTTCTGCTGGGGAGTCTGGAAGAATTAGTGATAATGATGTAGAAAATTTGGCAAACAAAAAACTAAGGCAATTATGAATTCCAAGAAAATAAAAAGTTGTAAAAAAAAAATGGAAATGTAATTATAATACAACTAATTGATCCAAAAGTAAACCATACTTATAGAGTCATAATAAGGTTAACGTGAAACATTGATTGAATTTAAAATATTGCACTATAACAATATTGGGAGGCCGGAGGGAGGGAAAGTATAAGGTTTTGGATCTTTGTCTTTTGTATTAGGTACTGTTTAAAATTTATAAATCAAGAACTAGCAGTATAAATATTTTATTTGGAAAAATGTTGGTAAATATGAGAAGAAAACAAGCAAGTAAAAGAGTCTGTGAGGGGATTTTTTTTCAAGACTCTGTGTGTGTGTATGTGTGTGTGTGTGTAAAAATACTCTCCTGCTATGTTTTTTATATATGTGAGGAAGATTGGCCCTGAACTAACATCTATGCCAATCTTCCTCTACTTTATGTGGGATGCTGCCTCAGTGTGGCTTGACAAGCAGTGCTAGGTCCTCTCAGGGGATCCGAACCTGCAAACCCCAGGCCTCCATAGTGGAGTGCACGAACTTAACCATTATACCACCAGGTCGGCCCCATGATATATTTTCTTATGAACCTTTTAGTTCCACCTGATTTCTTTTTCTGCTTTTTCTTCCCAAATCCCCCCAGTATATAGTTGTATATTTTTTAGTTGTGGGTCCTTCTAGTTGTGGCATGTGGGATGCCGCCTCAATATGGCCTGATGAGTGGTGCCATGTCCACGCCCAGGATCTGAACCGGCGAACCCCTGGGCTGCCAAAGAGGAGCACGTGAACTTAACTACTCAGCCACGGGGCTGGCCCCTGATTTTTTTTTTTTTTTTAACTACATGACTTTTTAAAGTATTTACATGTATTACCTTGATAAACACTAAAAATATCAGAGAAAGAGAGTAGAAAGGAAGGAAGGGAGGGTGGGAGGGAAGGAGAAACACAATCTTTAGTGTCCATCCAGACCTGTGATAGAAAGTGACATTATCGGGCTACCTGGTAGCGCAGTGGTTAAGTGTGCATGTTCCTCTTTGGCACCCTGGGGTTTGCCGGTTCAGATCCCGGGTGTGGACATGGCACCGCTTGGCAAGCCATGCTGTGGTAGGCATCCCACCTAGAAAGCAGAGGAAGATGGGCACAGATGTTAGCTCAGGGCTAGTCTTCCTCAGCAAAAAGAGGAGGATTGGCAGATGTCAGCTCAGGGCTAATCTTGCTCAAAAAAAAAAGAAAGAAAGTGACGTTATGAATTTTCTTTATAGAGAAGTCCTGAAGGAATACTAGAAAATAATAACCCCAGGTGTTTGAGAAGAATAAAACCCTGACCATTTAGGCCATTTTCTTTGAGGTATCAAATTTAGTTTGGGTTGTCACAGTACTTCCCCTCCCAAAAATTGGAGAAGTAAGGTGAAATGCTAGAGCATTGCTGTCTTAGTTCTAGTCAGTCTTATTAGCTGATTTTTTAAAATTGCGGATTAAATGAATATCATAGATCTTCTGGAATCTCAAAAAGATGTTATGCTCAAGATTAATATCACAAGACTGTCTTATATATGGAATTAGGAGATTTAGGTTAAGGTCCTCTGTGACCTTAGCTATGTTATTGTTTCTGGCCCTCCCATTTCTTCTGTCTACTGCAATGAATAATGTTCAAAAAGAAATACTTCATGCTAAATCCCTCTAAAAGTAAATATACTGCAGTGTACTTATTAGGGATTGATTAGTCTCCTCTATTAAACTATAAGAACTTTAAAAGTACCAATTATATCTTTGCCTCTGAAATTTCCCACATATCCTATTATTACTGTTCTCTTTTTCTAATGGGCGCTAAATAATGTTTCCAGAGAGGTTTATTGACTGGTATTGTGAAGAGAATGTTTTCTCTTTAAATGTTCCTACAATTCCCTGTTTAGAAAAGACAGAAAATTCCATATGCTCCAGGAAAATTCTATTTTCATTGTTAAATTTAG